GCAGGCAATTAGCCGATTAAGGGTGCGGTTAGAAGTTACAATATAAGGAAGCATTAGAAGCTGGAAAGCTTACTGCGACTAACTGTGTCTTACTGTGACTAACTGTGATTACTGACTGTGAGTGCCTGTGACTGAACTGTTCCTGTTTGCTACTGTTTGCTGATTTACTGCGTAATTCTACTGTTCTACTGTTTGAACTTCTTGCTGAATATCCAGCGTTTGTTCCTCTGGAGAGAGGCACCGGAGGAGGAGAAGATATCTTTATCGGCTGATAAAGATATTGTAAGGACTCTTAACTTGGACTGTAATAGTGAGTCTTACTGGATGGAAATACTGTGAATGACTTAATGGACTGAATGACAATGCTTTAAACTCTAAATGGATTAAAAACTATTTAAACTACAAAGAAGTGTTTGTGTTCAGTGTGTGTATACTCTGGGGCCCTTCCACTCTCGTTTGGCTGCCTGGCTTGACTACTGCTGCAATACTCTGCTAGGGGTTAATCCCCAAACACTAACACTCTTGCATCCTCCAGGCTTCCACTTGACCCTCTTCCTGAGGTAGATGCTTATGAAGCTCACCTCCTTCACCAAACCCTTTCACACAGTCAGTAATTACCTTCCTCCCCGTCCACCACCAATATATCTTCATCCATCATCATTAGTGCTTCGCCCTGGAATGGAGAGATTAGTGCTATTAAACTGGATTGCCAAGTACCACTATAGCCAGGGATGCTGGGTTTTGGCCTAGGAGTCACAACGGAATGGGATAACTTGCCACGGCCAACTCGCTGCAGGGCAATTCCCTACAGCCAACTCTCTGTGAGACAACTTGCTGCAGGGCAATTTAACAATTCTATTTAATTATTGAAATTAAATAAAAATATTTAAATTATTGCTATTGGCATTTCACCCTCTCTCTCTTTTTGAATCTTTTCTTTAATGATTCTATTCCAGAATTTCTTTGACATTAGTGTAACTCTTGTCCTGCAGTGAGTTGGCCATGGTGAGTTGGCTGAGGTGAATTGTCATGAACTCGAGCTTGCTTTACTTGTGGAAACAGGATCTGGCTAGTGAAAACATGGAAGCAGATGGAAGTTTTCAAACATTTCCTCCATGTTTCTCCATAACTCAAATTTCCCAAAGAAAAAATATCGTTCCCCATTAGTTTGCTTTGTGAGACATGAAGCAGCCTTTTTTGCTGTTAAAACTTCCCTTTGGTACTCAAAAAGCATGGGTGGGGTGAGGAAGCAGCCTTGAAAGATGCAAAGGCAGCCTACAAGCTACTTTCCCCTTCTGCACATCTGCACATAGTTTAATTCATCCCGAAGGATGTTTGTACAGATTCTCAGTCATCCAGGTCATAGTTGTCTTGAAAGTGTTTTTTCAAAAGGAAACTAGATTTTGGGTTTTTTTCCCTCCTGGAGGAAGAAGAAAAAAATGTTTCGCTTCTCATCCAAGAAGCTTCATTGCTTCTGGCAGGATGGTGGGGACGATGGAAGGATTACTTCTGACAGGATTGGAGTGAGTGGGTGGAGGGATTGACCAAAGGACTGCAAAGAAATATGATCCTTCCAAACCTGCCTCCCCCCTCCCCCAAATCCTGTCAGAACTATAATCCTTCCATCTCTCCTACCATCCTGCCAGAAACAATGAAGCTTCTTGGATGAGAAGCGAAACATCTTCTTTTTCTTTCTCAGGGAAAAACAACAACAGTCCAGCTGCCTTTTGAAAAAAAACACCTTTGAGATTCCAGAATGATATTTTAACATTCAGACACACTGAGGAGAATCTGGGCATATCCACAGATTGTTCAACTACCATTCCCAGCATGCCTCCTTGTCAGTCTTAATGGCAAAGGATTCTGGGAGGGGTATTCCCACTACAACAGAAGGACCACACACATGTTCCAAAGCACATCCTTGACCCGGCAGGTTGCGGGTCCAAGAAACAATAGGAAAAAAAAAGATTTATTTCTAAAAAGGAGTCGCTGGGATCAGGGTGGTGTAATAATTTAACAAATAAATAAAAACAAGGACCAGAAGCATCTGTTAGGTTTGAATGGCAATGGGTTTAAAACATCTCAGTTTCTGGGTTTTAAGTTCTGGCGGAAGATGCTATGGGCTATATTAACAGTCCAATTGGGTTTAGGATCCCACCTCCTCCTCGTGTTCCTTGGCAGGGGCTCCGACGGGTTTATATTCCGGATCCTCGCAGTCCTTGTCAAAATCCACCCTGCCAATGACACAAGAACTTGTCAATTATTGCTGTGGAAAACCCACGTCCTTCTCCCCCTTTCTAGACACACCTCAGGACTTCCTGTGAGAAGCAATTTTAACTCACAGACACCCAAATTCAGGACGAGTTGTCTCCTTGGTGCCTCGGTATTAGCATGGCAAGTCATCATGGGTGTGCGTCCCACCCACCACCCCCATCTTCCCCCATTCCCTAGCCTTGGGAATGGCTCAGCTTGACCCCAGCGGCCTCTCACCCCTCGCCCACATCTGGTCGGTGCTCAGCAGCAATGGCTTTTTCATCTGGGTGGCCGGCTTTCTCCAGGAAACAGAGCGCAGGGTCAGCTCGCATGGTGTTGTACTTCTCGTAGCCTGAAGAAAAGGCCAAACATCAGTGCCTCAACAGTTTATGTCCCCATGCAATCTCAGGCAGAGTTTAGACTATAAACTCAGTTTCCTGGTTAAGTTTCTAGCCCTGGTATTCCTTAGAGGTCTCCCATCCAAGAATAACCAGGTCTGATTCAACTTTATTTTCAGGTCTAAAGTTGGCTAAATATAATAGCACTTAAACTTATATATCACTTCATACTACTTTACAGCCCTCTCTAAACAGTTTACAGAGTTAGCATATGGCTCCCAATGATCTGGGTCCTCATTTTACCAACCGCGGAAGGATAGAAGGCTGAGTTCAACCTTGAGCCGGTGAGAATCGAACTGCTGGCGGTTGGCAGTTAGCCTGCAATATAGCCTTCTAACCACTGCGCCACGACGGCTCTTGTGCCTCCACTTGCAGAGACGTTCAAAACATTCAGGCTTTTAGAGTCTAGAAATCCCTGCCAAGGAATCTATAGCTTATTCTCAGCCAATATTTTAATATTATTCTTCTCAGAAAACATTTGGCTTGTGCAAAATTCTTCTTGCGTGTCTGATTACCTTCTAACTTGATCAGCAAGTATGTGCTTGGGAGGTGTAAAATTTCCTTCTAATATTTTTATTGGCATGCTGTTGTTTTTTTTAGTCCTCTAGATTAAATAAATTTAGATTTAGTATAATTTAGAATTGGCGGTTTCTCTCCACTGATACTTTACAGGTGGTTCTTGACTTATAGGGACAGGAATTTCCACTGCTAAGCAAGTTGGTTGCTAAATGAATTACTGTATGATCATTGTAGTTAAGAAATCTGCCAATTAGGTGTAGGCAAATAAAGGACTGGACTTGATTGGAAGTCACTGTCTCATCTCTGGTTTTGGACCTGACAGTTTGCCCGCTCCTCATTGCGAAAGGAAGGGGCATGCATATCTGTCCAGAAATTATTATTCACCATGTTTGAAGACCCCAAGAAGCAAAGATTTGTCTGCTTCCGTGTCCCACCAGGCTGTGGGCACTTCTGCCTGATCCACGAGTGGAAACCAGATGTCAGTTTCACTGCAGGAATTAAGATGGGAAACAGAAACAAAACAAAACAAGACAAAGGTGTTGTGAGATGTTAAACAGAAACCAAGACAACTTTCCAAAATTCTTACTTGTGGCACGGAGTGGATTGCCCTTAAGATAGCAATAGTACTTAAGACTTATATACCACTTCACAGTGCTTTTACAGCCCTCTCTAAGCAGTTTTACAGAGTCAGCCTGTTTACCCCAACAACAATCTGGGTCCCCATTTTACCCACCTCGGACGTCAACCTTGAGCCTGGTGAGATTCAAACTGCCAAATTGCTGGCAGCAGCAGAAGTAGCCTGCAGTATTGCGTTCTAACCACTGTGCCACCACAGCTCTGTAGATGTACTGCAGTAATCCATTTACAACAGTAAAAAGAATAAAAGGGGCTCTTTTGCCAGGACAAAAAAATCTAACAAAATGACTGATTTGTGGAAGTAAATATGTTTAATAAAGAAACAGGAATACCACAAGGGCTCATTGTTAAGAACAGTTATCTGGTGGGTGGGTGTCCTTGAAAATCAGACTAACAAGAGTTGGAAGGGACCTTGGAGGTCTTCTAGTCTGACCCCCTGCTCAAGCAGGAGACCCTACACAAATGGTTTTTCATGCCTCTTCTTAAACAAGGAATCAAAGAAACACACCCCTAAAGTAAAAGGTTTCTGTTACGAAATCCACTGAGTCAATCAGTGCCCGCTTTCTATCCCAACCAAACTCGATTTGTTCTAACTGCAAAGTCGTCGTACAAAAATAAAAGTGGCGTGTCAGTAATTGGAAAACACACACACAGAAACACAGACACCCCAGGAAACCTTTGTATAAAGGTGAACATTTTTACCTGGACACAGCACCTGCCAACACTTTCTCAGCCTGGTCCCCGATCACCTCCTGACGCAAGTAATAAAGCATTCGGACCCTGAGCAGCACCCTAGGAGGAAAATAATGCCTTTCTATTGGAAGGGCCAAGCATCGTTTGATAAATTGCACCCATCCACATTCCAAGACATTGGCTGTCTCTACTGTTAAGTCAGTGATGAGGGCAAAAGTCCCCCCCCCCCCCCAAACAACAGAGGCACATCCACCTGCAAGCAGCAAGGAGCTCTCAATTGCCCCAGCTTTTACAGACATATGAACTGAAAAGCCAGTTTGGTGTAGTAGTGAAGGTGGTGGCCTAGAAACTAGGAGATGGGGAGTTCTAGTCCCATCTCAGGCACAAAAGCTGGCTTGGCACCAGGAAAGCGGGAGCTCTAGTCCCGTTTTAGGTGTAAAAGCATCTAGGTGACTTTGGGCCAACGACCAGGAGATGGTGAGTTCGAAGGCCGCCTGAGGCATGAAAGCCGTCTGGGTGAATTTGGGCCAATCACCAGGAGACTGGGAGTTCTAGTCCCACCTTAGGCATGAAATCCAGCTGGGTGACTTTGGGCTAGTCAATCTCTCTCAGCTCAATCTACCGCACAGTTGTTGTGGGGGGAAAAGTGGAAAAGAAGGAATATTATGTATGTTTGTTGCCTTGAGTTATGTATAAAGTAATAAAAGCGTGATAAAAATCAGATGGACAGACAGAGAAAGTGAAAAAGGGAGGGATAGATACAGATAGATGATAGATACCGTTTCTCACATAATAAGGCCGGGCCTTATTTTTTTTGGACCCCCGAAAAAACGGCTAGGACGTCTTTTCGGGGGTGACTTAATT